AAACTCAAACATTGTCCGTTAGTTAGTTCTAGCCGTGATCGTATCTAGTTGTATTAAAAAAAGACTTAAATTTTGATGAGAACATTTTGCGTGCGAATTACAAAATAAAATGAAGGTTTACGTTTTAAATTACACATAATGATAGGATGCTACACGACTACAGCAGTGCTTCCGAGAAACAATAAACCATTACGATTTCCTATTAATCGTAAACCGAAAATTAATATAGAACAGAATTGCAAAGAGATTTTTTCTTAAAATACAAATGTTAGATTTCAGCTTAGTCTTAACCTTTTGTGTGATTCTATTTATCTTATACGAAGTTGGAACGAACGTTAAATCAATTAATTCTCACTGACTATCCTTTAAAATACTGTTCATTACTCTATCGCTGACGTAATCGTCTAGACTAGACATTTTTTCTCAATAAGTTTTGTTTAAGTTTTTTGACTAATGAAAACTCACGACTCTATGTTTACCTAGTTGAGTTTACGTAGTAAATGTTGAGTACAGTACAGACGGCGAGTCGTGGCGAGGGCGCGGCGACGTCGGAGGCTGGTCGCTGGTCACTGTCCGCATTCCGCGCATTGAAAGTAACGCGGCATCCGGCTGCGAAAAATTACCATCTCTCTCTCGCGCTATCAAAGTATAGCTATTTATTGATACGTAATAGTTCATTGTACTATTTTAAAATCATCTGTTTACAGTATAAATATAAGCTAATCGTGTGTAGCTACTGCTTTAACGTCTGTTACAAAAATATGTGTTTTGTACAAGTGTTTCATGGAAAGTAATTAATCTGAATTGATGAATACCTAGGTGAAGAAAGGGTTTAAATTCGAAATTACTGATTTTATCAGACTGGACTTTGTGTCTCGAATCGATAAAGGCTTCGGTAAAGAAATTCGGCGACACTATATTTTTTAACAAAATAGCAAATGTGGATTGTAAATTCTAAGGGCCAAAGATCGGTGTCAATTTTGTATTCAACCTTGAAACGTTGGTTTTCGAGTCACATGTGTGTACACGTAAAATATAACCCGTTATCATAAAATTTACATATTTATTTAAGTAAAAATAGGATTTTTTTATAGACAATGTTTTGCAGTTAAGTAAATAAACATGACTTCGCCTTTTATACAGATAAATAAAGATTAATCGGAACAAATTTGTAAAATATTCCACATTAAGTTTTGGTAGTTTTATGTAAGAAAGCTGGGACATAAGGAAAAGCTAGGGTTGAAATTGACTCATTTATTCTCAAACCGTACAATCTGTTATATCAGTGCATACCATATCGGCAGACAAGAGACATTTGCATACTGCCCGTTTGTATTTGCTAAAGGCGTCTAGCATAGGACGCTTGACGAAATTCGCAATGCTAATAATACAATGGCCAGACGCACCTCGTGCTACCGTCTCGTCTGTCTGGAGTATAACAAGGAATAATCGCCCTTATGTTGAAGGATTAAACGTTAATTTCGTTTATAATTAAACAATGCCATATGAAACTAATGACGCACACATATACAATTCGTAAAGCGTCTAAAGACGCAAGGTAAGTTGGCGTGGATCGTGGGCGATTGTAAATACGAGATTCGCGTGCTAAAATACGCGGCCTCCACGGAGGCTACAGGCGTACGGCCTACGGGCGTACGCGGATAACTTTCGACAGTCATTGAATGGAGGGTTCGATGACCGTGCGCCGAAACGTCGTTCGGATTTGCATGTGTCAATGACACGAGCGCTGCACGCTCACCGCCGCCGACGCGGCCTATACTTTTCCTTTCAGCCGTGTCTCGCCGTTTCACTAAGAAACATTTCGGTCTGACCTCGTGACACTGAATCGGTGCGTTTTTTTACACCGTCGCTTGTGAAATCGTTTGTCCTTCTTATTAACGACCGTCTGGAATTGGTTATTGGTGATTTATAGTGTTTAATGCTAGACTTGATATTACAGTTATTTTTTTATTACGTGTTAAAACATTGAGATCTCGATCTTTCATGTCTTGCAAAGTTTCAGGTGCATTATAGTCGTGGTTCTAATAATGTCTACGATTATACAGTTTAGGGTTAAAAGAGATTAACAAAATAAGTCTTAAATTCGAAATAATGTTGGTATTTACGCTACCTTTGTAAGTGAAGACGAAGTTTATACTTCCTGTTCAATGAAGCTTTTGGCTCCAGATTTCGGATCGTTTTCAACGTGAATAAATAGCCGTCGAAAGAGTTCGGCAAGAATCCTCTGGCCATCAAACACGTCGACTTGGAACGTGCGAAATCCAATAAAGAAGTCGCGCCACCTGCGCCTTATTACATTCTTCTAGTGATGTTCGCTCGGCCCTCCCCTCAAATCCTCCCTAACTTTCCATGTCGGAAAGATTGCCGCTTGTTCAACTTTTACTTTGAAAATTCGTTCAATTAGTATCAGTCGCGGAGGAAAAGTTTGCCGGCGGAGTGTTTTCATAATCATACTATTCAATTCTGATTCGTTCGGAATTCGGTGAGCGAGTCGATTCCGTTCCGGAAATAAATTTCATCGGCCTTTCACTAATCAAACTCGACTTGATATATCGACTTTATATCGCTGAAGATCAAAGCGAGATTTAAACATTCACGATAATGGACCACCACTTTGATTTAACCGCATTTTTATTTTGATTATATTGTTAAATAAAAGTACGTACCGAAGGAAAACTGCATAAATATTTGCCACCTAAATGGATGTACCGTGTGCCTAATGCTGCCTTTTCTATTACACCTGCCTTTTGTATTGACTATCATGATTGATAGCAAATGCATTTAAAATATATAATCCCACAATATTATAAATAAAAAATTAAACATATTTCACAGGTATGTCTCGAAGAATATTTTAATAAAAAAAAAAATAACGTAATGTTTAGGAGTTAATTGACAAATCGCGAGCGGTTGGTATTAAAATGTGTGTCGGATTTCATTTCAGTGTGGGACAATAGCGTCCCTTGGTGGGTGTCGATTTTAATTGCAAATACGATATTAGCATACACGCTTTGTGAGTTCTTGAAAGGTGCGAGTCGAAGGCGAGGTGTCCTTATGCGAACTGTATGCGGTCACGATTACGATTGAGACATTAAGTACTGGGTATTGTCATCGCTTAGCTATGTGAGCGCACATCAATGCTAGTTTCACACTGGGACAGGCATTTCATAATACGCAGTAGCAGTACTGCATTACCGTGCGGTACTGCTACTGCTGCAGACAGAAATGTGTCATATTCATTATCTGCTACCCTCGTGTGAAATTAGCATTAGGTACTACGTAATCTAAGAATAATGAGCCTTGGATATAATCATCAATTACCATCATAATAACAAAAACATTGTTAAGATTATAAAATGATCAAACTTAAAATTACTTTATTATAAATTTGTACTACTATACTGTGTAAAAGATTTTCTTTTTAAAATAAATAATAGATGCTGGTGTTCGTTTAACGCTTTATCTAAGTATAACCGTACTTATTGCATTTAATTTTATTCTATTACAACAGCACTAAGAGCGGTAATTAGCCGGCGGTAAGATTAAATTATAATAATGAGTGTTGGTATAACTGTGCAAGATTCATAATTGGGGAGATATTAATATGTATTTGGGCGGCCGGCGAGTGTTCAAAGTAAACAGAGACGACCGTTAGGCACACACTTTCCAAACGGTGCTATTTTTAGATTGATTTTCACCGTTGCATATTTAATACCAGTGATAAATATGAAATTTCAACGCTTTACTAAAGCGCAAATCACCGAGTAAAGAGTAGACTATTAAATTGCTAATACAGAAATATTTGAGAAAATGTGATTCAATTCAAAATGTGATGCTAATTTATTGAGTAAATTTGTAAGAGGTTTACGTTTTAGAACAGCTTTGTAAAAGGGTTATAATTTAGTCAGTTTACGTGAAGATTAAAAAAAAAACAAAACAATGTTGTTTAGCAGCCCAACAGCTTGTTAATCAACGTAGACTGATAGCAATCTTCAAGAATCGATCTGAGCCATCGAACATATAATTAAGTTTCTTGGGAAACATTATTTTTAATCGATTGGAAATAGTATCGTAAAGTTGACAGTCATATAAATGCTAAGCGAATTCTCGTAGACATGAATAAAAGTTGTAAAACAGTTAACATTAAATAAAGTTTATCGTTGGAACATAAATCATGTTTTGAAATGGCCAATGACCAGACCAATAAAACGTAATGTTCCGTGCGCCCCGCCACCCGCGACCCGCGACGTCCCTCGCCTTGCAACACCATTAAACATTTAAAAACTATATTACACACAAAATGTATAAACAAAAACGACCTTCGTATTTTTGTTTTGTATTTCATAATTATTATTTAATCCTTTATCATTAACATAACTAAACGGTTTATTACAAACAAAATTGCAAGAATGCTTACAAACTTTTAATTATGCAAATTGCTCAAAGATTTAAGGAGAGATTGCACGGGTTTTTTGTAACGAAGGGGCAATAACAATTTGTAAATCCATTTTGGTTGTATGAAAAATGTTTTTACTTCCTTACATTTATTAAATTGAAGATTGCGATAACTTTGATATTCCATAAACATAATTTATGTGTCTGATTACACTTACTCGGAATTTTTGATAATTTAAATTTTACAAGCTTGAAAAGATTATGAAATTATTCAAATGCTTATTCATATAATTAAAATTAAATACAAAAATATAAATATTATAGTAGCATCACTTAAAGAGGAAGACCGAAGAAAGTATGGATGGATTGTGTGAAAGAGGTTATGCTTAAGAAAGGAGTGGTTTCAGATGTGACGGCTGATAGAGATGTATGGAAGAGCAGCACATACTGTGCCGACCCTCCTCAAGGGACAAGGGCAAGTTAATGATGAGTAGCATCACTTAATGATTTTGATATTATATATATTTAGATAAGGTATTTAAATATCTATAAGTAATTCATATATTTCTGCTTATTTTTTACAGGTACGTACCGAGAGGGAACATCGGGTCATCGAAGAAGCGACGAGTAACACGACTTATTGGGTATGATAATTTTTTAATACACTTGTAGATTTACTTTAATAGTTATAATTATTTTATATTATGAAGCGCTAACGTTAACGCTAGTTTTAATAACTGTTTAACTCCGTTAATGATTACAGTTATAATTGTGTGAGGTGTGATAATTGTTATTAAAGTGATTATTCCGTGACGTTTTCCTGCCAATCTCTTCGTTTCGACGCCATCCCCGCCTCTCCCGCGTAAAGATTTACGATGTCTTATATTGCAAGGGGCGTAATGAACAGCGATGCGTATTCTGTCATTTCATCAAATTAACTGTTCGCCTACAATCGACTTACTCGTTCCGTCAGCCTCGAACACAATTTACTTATGCAAACGTTACATTGTATTCATGATGCCATTTGTTTTATACAGATTGTATGCTACGATACTGTTGTCGTGAAGTGAAAATGAACAGTCTTACTCAGTATTTTGTAGGCTTAAATTCTCGGTTTTATACGTAACACTACTAACTAACTAAAATAGACATTTTGTACAGTATTGAAAAGATTATCTGATAAAATTAAAAGATAACGGCACCTTACATTGGCGTCGGTTATTGCCCCCCCCCCTTTCCTATCAAAAATTGTTAAATAGATAAAAAAAACTATTTAGAATATGACCATGTTAATGGTAACCGTACCCCCCTTAGGCTTATAAGTTAAGTCGTTATGAATAATCGTCAAATTGACTCAACGATTTAAATACCTCATTTTTCCTCATATTCTGGATAATCCGATGACAGATAAATAAACGTGCAGACAGCACTGTAAACGAGTGAATGATAAACAAAACAACGCATTTGTAAATTGAAACCCTTCCACCGCGTAGCTTTTATTTTAATGGTGCCGAAAAGGGGTCCGAAGCGAATCCAGACATATTAATTGCGTCAGATGATTGTGCCGGCATCCGCGCGGAAATTAGAAGCATTGGAGTGTAGAACACACGCCCACCGAGCAGACAACACTACACAAAAAGCAATATCGCGCCTCAACTTGAACGATTGCAATAAAAATATTTCTTCCAAATCCGTAAAAACAACGGGATATAGAATTATAGCAGCATTTTATAGCTCCATTGTAAGCGTTTTTATGGACGTTAACATTGGACGTCGCAATAAACGTTTAGTCCGACAGGGAGACGAGCCGCGAAACGATTTAATATTTTCGAACTGCCCTTAGCGCTTCGTAAAGCATCACTTCTCAATTAAGAAGCGGTCGTACCTCGACCGCTTCGTCAAATATTAAAACGGTAGAACAAATCCAAGAGCTTTTAATATTTTACTTAAAACGGACTGCGGTTTCAGCCTGAGTTTTCTTCCTGTCTTACCCAGATTTAAGTTTTGTTTAAGCGCTAGGTAAAGAGCGGCACTGAAAACTAATCCCGACGTTTCAGAGTTAGTGCGGTGTTGGTTTTTGTTCCTTAACCGCTCGTAAAATCTTAGATAAAGTAAATAAATAACAGATATAGCCTATATATTTTTCTTATTAATATGCCGTGCTGAAATTTATCTGCGACGTCTGGCACAAACTGCTAGTGTAAGTGTGTTTAAATGGCTATTAGCTGCAAAGGTTATGATAATATAAGAGAATGCAGTTACATTTGCATACGTTTTGAAATAGAGCGTAGCAATCGGTGTATGGAAATTACTTACTGTTATATTTATAAGCGTTATGTATTTCTAGACTTTTATTCTTAATTCTTAAGGATCAACTAGGTCTTAGAATTGGGCCAACTTAAAAATACTTGAGTATAAAAATTATAAAGATAATAATACGTAAATGATCGATTGTTAAAATCATCATCATCATCTCCTTATCCTACTCCTGTAGGGTCGGCGCAACAGGTTTTTGTCCTCCACATAACTCTATCATACGTCATCTCAGTCATTACTCCCTTTTTGATCATGTCACCTTTTACACAATCCATCCATCTCTTTCTAGGTCTACCTCTACCGATGTACCCTTCCACACCCATAACTAACGTTCTCCTTGTAACATGCGATTCATCCCTCCTCATAACATGCCCATACCATGCTAACCTTTTACTCCTAACCTTCTCTATTATGGGGGCTACTCTCAAACTTCCTCTAATATACTCATTTCGTATCTTATCCATTCGTGTTACCCCACACATCCATCTTAACATTCGCATTTCTGTCACATGTAGTCTTCTTTCATCCGTCCCTTTTACTGCCCAACATTCAGATCCATACATCATGACAGGTCTTACGACGGCCTTGTAAATTTTCCCCTTTAATTTAAGTGGAATTTGAGGGTCGCATATTACTCCTGTGACCTGTCGCCATTTCATCCATCCCGCTTTTATTCTATTTGTCACGTCACGGTCAATGTAGCCGTCGCTTTGGATTAATGAGCCGAGGTACCGGAAGTCGGAGCAAACTGGGAGATAAGCGCCATCTAAGGCAATCGGGATAAAACTGGATAAGCCCCCAAAGTCACAGAATAACTGCTCTGTTTTTGCTCTACTTATCTTTAGTCCGGCTGTCTCCAGTTTATCCCGCCATCTCTCCAGTCTGCTCTGGACCTCAAGCGCATCTTCCCCAACAAGAACAATGTCGTCGGCGAACAGCATACACCAGGGTGCTTCCTCCTGGATCTCCACGGTTAACGCGTCGATAACCAGGAGGAACAGATAAGGGCTTAAAGCCGATCCCTGGTGCAGGCCCACAGCCACACTGAACTTGTCGGTTACGCCGGCTTCGGACCTGACGTGAGTGTTCGCTCTTTCATACATAGCACTCACGAGTCGCACGTACTTCCCAGGCACTTGTCTTTCTTTCATCGCCCACCACAGAACCTTACGGGGGACTCGGTCGTATGCCTTTTCAAGGTCAACGAACACCATATGCAAGTTCTTATGTACACGTCTGTACTTTTCACAAAGCTGACGTAAAGCAAATATGGCATCCGTTGTTCCTCGACCTGGCATAAACCCGAATTGGTTCTGTGATATCTCACTCTCTTCTCTTATCCGTCTGTCTATCACCTTCTCCCAAATTTTCATAGTATGTGACATGAGTTTTATTCCACGATAGTTGTTGCAGTTCTGAACATCACCTTTGTTCTTAAAAATAGGCACCAACGTACTGGTACACCATTCATCAGGGATCGATTCTTCCTGCAACAGCTTATCGAAGAATAAAATCAGCCACTTTATACCATCTTCTTTCAAAACCTTCCATACTTCAACGGGTATGCCATCAGGCCCCACAGCTTTTCCATTCTTCATATCTCTCACTGCCATTTTAACCTCATCCAAACTGATCTCATTTACCAACGCCATATTGACCGGTGTTCTCGGTACGACGCCATTCCATTCATTCTCCTCATTCATTAAATTTCTGAAATATACTTTCCATCGCTCTTTTATATCTCCATCTTTCAACAAAATTTTACCATTTTCATCCTTCATACATTTTACGTGCATAATATCTCTCGCATTCTTCTCTCTCGCTTTTGCTAGCCTGTAAAGATCTTTTTGTCCTTGCGGTGTGTCCAGTTCTTGGTACAGTTTGTTCTGTACAGCAGCTTTAGCCACCGCAACCGATCTTCTAGCAATTTTTCTTACTTCAACATACGTTCTCCTTCTAAATTCTTGCATATCCTCATTCATTTCATCCCCGTTTTTCCACGCCTTAAATGCTTCCTTCTTATCTTTCACTGCCTTCTGTACTTCGTCGTTCCACCACCATGTATCCTTATCTAGCTTTCCTACGCCTTTCGTTTCCCCTAAAACATCCTTTGCAGCACACCGTATAGAGGTAGCAATTTCATTCCAACATTCATTAACCGATTAAAATGTTTTTTAGAAATGTTATATTTCTTAGATACTCGTAGTATTCCAAATGCGAGTGCTGACTAAGCAGATAGGGTATTAACACTGCCTTTAATGAATATTCAGACGAGATGACACCGCTCGCTGCGAATTCGCAAGAAATAATCTCCCAACAGCCGGCGATCATAAATCTTTCAATAACACTCCTCAAATAAATACAAAATTCACGTAGCCGTTTTTAGTAACATAAATAATGTATTCAGTGTCGCACTAAGACGCGATTTTTGTTACTCTTTGCTAAGGATTTATTTCAGGATTCATTCTTTATAACACTTTTTTAAGTTAGGTTAAGTCTATGCTCTTTTGTATGGAAAACATTAAAATAGTAAAAAGAACATTAATTAATAACTCACAATACGAAAAACTGGAATTTGAATTATCAGGCATTAATACGAGTATGTCGACATTTTAAGACTGATTTTAAAATTGACAAAAGATATTAAAAGACACAGAGTTGGCACATGGCGTGATTCGAACCCAGGATCTGCCGATTGAGAGTCAATTGAAACCACTCAGCCATCAAAGCTTTTAATGTTTAACACATGCATAAACCCTTTAATATTAAATTAATCATTGTATGAAGCAAACAATCATTTGAATAAACATATTTATGTAGTATGCCTCCAACATGCGGTATTCACAGGTTTAACCAGATTTCAGTATACGTGCTAAAAGTACGTCCCGCGCTGTTGGAAATTAAACAAATTGATATCCAACACAAACCATCGCTCGGTTTATCCCAACATTGTTGGTGTGCCGTAGCCGTACGCAACATCTGCTCTGATTTTCGATTATCTCTCTGGTTTTTCGTTTACTGTTTATTCATTTATTTATTCACATTTCAATTCTCACTGTTGCGAAGTCTGAATGCATTACATAATTTTGTACTTAAATTAAATTTAAACAATACTAGCTGTTGCTCGCGACTTCATCTTCGCGATTTTAAAAAAAAAATAAAAATATAGCCTATTTTACTTACAGATAAATTTCCTTTCTAACGGTGTAAGAATTTTTAAAATCGTTCTAGTAGTTTTTGAGTTATTTCAATACATAAAAAATACAAATTTGTCCTGTTTATAATATTAGTATAGATTACATAAGTTAATAACTAGTGTTGGAATTTT